TATTTTCAGCAAAAATTTATTCCAGCTAAAACAAATAACTAAACTAGTGTGACATTTTTTTTTCTCATTTTCATGCAGATACATGGCCCAGGTCAATTTGACCCCCCAGGCTACGCCATGTTTGAAGTTGTTTCGTCAGCTTCTGCTGCTCCTCATAAATGGCAGTCGTTCATGGATGATGAAAATTATCTAATACCCTCTAAGCTTTTTGATTGGTTCTATGGCCTGGTAGCGAGAGCATTAAAATCACTTAATTTGAGAGAGGTTACTCTTCAAAGAGCTGGGCCGTCTGCAAACCTCATAATAAACAAACCTGGAGTACGAGAAATGTCAGTGGACCTCGCTCCTACTATACAGATGCTTGGCGTACCTCCTGGGATACATTTTCCCGATTCATGGCCTGACAGAGAAAAGATGAAGAGTATACCAGGTGTTATGAGGTCTAACAGTTTGTGGCAGCTTTGTACAAAGGAGCACATGGGTGCTGTCTTCAGTGGAAATCGGCGTTGGTGGCGTATTTCTACTTCTCCCCTTGAGAAGTATGTCCTGGATACCATTGACCGAGATGGCGGAGGAGATAGTTCTGGAGGAGGATGTCGAAAACAAATCTTGCGTTTACTAAAGTTATTACGGGAAGTTGAGGGTTCTAATTGGTTAGGAATTAAGTCATACCACCTTAAGCACCTAGTGATGTCAGAGTCTTGTCGCCATGTTGACTGGTCTGTTGGAAAGATTGATGTTTGTTTCGTTGGATGTCTTCGCACTTTAGAGAATTCTTTGCAGGAACAAAACCTCCGAAATGTGTTCTTTCCCAAAATGAATATGTTCTCTGAGCTCTCTGTTACCAACAATTTAGCTTTTCGTGTAAAAAGAATTGCTAAGAATATTGAAAGAGATCCGAATGAAGCTAAGAAGTATTTTGAAAATTGAAAATAAAATCCAAATTTTGCACCTATGAATCGCTCGTGAGTCGCATATGCTTGCCTTAAAAAATCTGGAAAAAATTACTTTTACATGTTATGTATATATCAAGTATCTTCCAGGCAATTTCTTTTTCATCCATGTAGATAAATTATAACATAAATATTTAGCTTTGCTGTGGACTTCGTCCGATTGCTTTGATATTATACATCTAGGTGCTTTAGGTGGACCTCTTATAGATGTGTTCATTTCGTGATGATATATGCAATTCTCTGAGTTTGATAAATATTGTTGTAATTTTTTGGTATAAAGTGATATTTTCGACTTTGTCTTGAAAACTGCAAGTCTGATTGCTTTGAAAATGAAAATGTGGACCGATCTCAGATTTGTTAGCTCCGCTGTCGACGAAGGAGCTTATAGTATTACTGATTGTCCGTCGTCGTCGTCATCGTCAACTTTACATTTTCGACTTCTTCTTAAAAACCACAAACTGTATAGCTGTGAAACTTTCTAGGAAGGTACCTTGGGTGGTTTTCTCTCAGATTTGTTCATTTCGTGTGGATATGTTCAATTGTCTTATTTATAGCGAATATTTTTGTCATTTTTGGTCAAAAATGCTATTTTCGACTTCTTCTTGAAAACCGCTAGCCCAAATGCTTTGATACTTGGTATGTAGGTACCTTGAGTGGACCTCTCTCAGATTTGTTCATTTCGTGATGATATCTTCATTTTTCTAATTTTGATGAATATTTTTGTCATTTTTGGTAAAAAATTATATTTTCGACTTCTTCTTGAAAAGTGCTCGTCCAATTTCTTTGATATTGTATATGTAGGTACATCAGGTGGACCTCTGTCAGATTTGTTGATTTTGTGACAATATCTTCAATTCTCTAATTTTGATGAATATTTTTGGTCAAAAACATTATTTTCAACTTCTTCTTGAAAACTGCTAATCCGATTGCTTTGTAACTTTATTTGTAGGTACCTTGGGTGAATCTCTGTCAGATTTGGTAATTTCATGACGATATCTTCAAATCTCTAATTTTAGTGAATATTTGTGTCATTTTTCGTAAAAATGTTATTTTCAACTTCTTGTTTGAAACCTCTAACCTGATTGCTTTGTAAATTTATTTGTAGGTACATGTACCTTGGGTGGATCTCAGTCAGATTTGTTAATTTCATGACGACATCTTCAATTCTCTATTTTTAGCAAATATTTTCATCATTTTTCATCAAAAAAACATATTTTTGACTTGTCCTTCAAAACCAGTAGTCCAAATTCTTTG